GCTTGCACAGGGACGTATTGTGCGGCATTAGGACATCAGAAGATGCGTGCGACGTCTACGTACCGTGCGACGTCTACGTACCGTGCGACGTCTACGTACCGTGCGACGTCTACGTACCGTGCGACGTCTACGTACCGTGCGACGTCTACGTACCGTGCGACGTCAGGGCCCACTGCCTCGCAGAGCTCGTGCAGCTGATTGGCCACCATGTAGCGCACACGCCACGACTTGTCCTGTTGTGACACACCAGATGCCACAGGCCACGTCAGCAGAGGAATATCTCAGCGTGCGCATCCGACTTTGAAAAAAAAAGGTCTGGGCATGGAAAAACGTTTAACTACATGCAGGGCGCAAGCCCGTAAGGGAAGTGAGAGTTGAGAAGCGGGAAAATGCAAGTGCAGGTGCGAGTGGGGAAAACCAGCAAGTGAAAGGGTAATCAGACAACTGGGGTTCTAACTTACCAGCCCTTTCAAAACAATGCACAAGTGACGAAGAGGTGCGCAGGGAGTAGGGAGTGGGGAATGGGGAGCGGGGGAAACGGGGAGCGGGGAGCAGAGTGCAGGAAGCAGGGAGCGGGGAGCAGGGAGCAGGAAGCGGCGAGTGGGGAGCGTGGGGCATTGTATTTACCTGGGCGAAGGAGAGGATGATGGGGAGGATGGTGGATATGCACTCCTCCTTCTCCAGCAGCTTGCCCACCGCCGCACACCCCTCCACCGCCAGCAACCGCACTGAGTCCTGGTCTGCACGCAGCAAGGGATGCATGCAACAACAGCGTGCACAGGGCAACATAGGACAAAAAGGGAACAGAATCTTTATGCGCTGCAAACACCACCGCGCACCCCTCCACCTTCGCGGTTCCCCTTGCTTCAGCCATCCCTTTCCCCACACATTCGCTACAGCCACAGCTATTCCCCCATTCCGCTACAGCCTTTGCTTCCCTCCCATCCCTTCGTCTCTGCCCCTTCGCTACAGCCCTCCCCCTCCTTTCCCTGCACGCAGCCTCCCCTGCACGCACACTTCCCTGAACGCACCCTCCCTTGCACGCACCCTCCCCTGCACGCGCCCTTCCGTGCACGCACCGTCGTTAGTGAGGTCTTTAAAGAAGGCGAGGATGTCGGTTTTGAGGAACTGCGGCTCGACGGTGGCGGCGAACTTGCCCATGTTGAGCGCGGCGGAGCGGCGCACCATGGGCATGTCGTCGTGGCTCAGCTGCCCGTACAGCGTGCGCAGCTCGGCGCGCTGCTGCTCCGTCGCCGCGGGGTACGCGATGTGGAACAGCCCGCACGCCGACACGCGCGCCGTGAACCAGTCGCCCGCCGCCAGGCGCTGATGCAGGTGGGGAAGGGTGGCGGAGGGAGGGCGGGGGAGTTCGGGAAGAGCAGAGGAAGCAGGAGGACGGGAAGGGGAAGGGGAGGCGGGAAGGGAGGGGATGGGGAAGGGATGATGAAAAAAAATGGCAGTATGAGAGGGAGGGGTCCGACGAAAGGAGTGGGATCTGGAGATGAAAACGCAAGCCTGTGGCCAACCGCTGCTGCCTGTTGCTCCGTCGAATCAGGCACGGAAGGCACGAAAGGAAGCGCGCGTGGATAGCCAGTCTGTCTGTTGCAGGTTGCGATAAAAATTATAAATTTCTTTCTACGTGCTTCGCAGCATTCGTCGACGCGGCAATCGCGGGTGCGAGACAGACAATACCACTACCGGTGGGAGCAGTGGGAAATTCGTAAGCAACGCAATCAACAGCGAGAAAAATAGGTCAGTCAAGAGTCAGAAGCGCGACACGAGTAAAAGCTCGCGATTTGCGATACTGAAAGCAGCCTGAACCCCTGACATTATCAGCATCGACTCCAAAATAATGCTCGATACAGTCCAGTCGAGCGGCACAGTTCAGTCTCTTTTGAGAGTTCTCAAAGCGACCCTGGCATTATTAGCATCGACTCTAATAAAATGCTTGATACCGTCCGGTCAAGACACAATATTGTTCCACATTGTACTCAACAGTGGGAGGTCAAAGCCATAACTGAACCTGAACGCGAAGCTGATGGAGGTAAACCTAAAATGGACGTGAACCTGAAATGGAGGTAAACCTAAAATGGACGCGAACCTGAAATGGAGGTAAACTTAAAATGGACGCGAACCTGAGATGGAGGTGAACCTAAAATGGACGCGTGGAGCTAAACTGGACGCGCACCTGAACAAGCGGGACAAAGTACTCGACAATGTCTCTCGGCTTCATCTGCTGTCCGATCTTGCACAGCGATTCCACCGCCTTATCGCGTACAACCGTCTCCTCGACGGTGCAGAGCGTCTCCAGCGGCGGGAGAATGACGTAGGCGAAATCGATCCCACCGACGCACGGAATGAAGGAGCCGAGCTCTTCCGCCATGGCCAGCAGCACTTCGTCGTCATCGTCGTTGTTCTCGTTAAGAAACGGAATGAGCTCCTTCCGCGTCCTGTCCTCGCCGAGAGCCCTCGCGATCGTGCTCAGCCGCCTTATCGAGTTTAAGCGCAGCTGAATGTCGTCATTTTTAAGCTCGTCGATTAGAATGGCTATCGGGTACAATGGCTCCTCCACGACGGCCATATTTGTGGCCATGTGGAAAATGTGACGTCAACCCTAAAATATAACACGACTCTGAGGGTAAGCAATGGCCAATTAACAGAGGATCTGGCGAGTTGATTCTCGGTCAATCCTCTCGTTTCGCTACTAAACAAGCCTGAAGAAAAAACAGAAATAGAGCGGTACGGATACAAAGGAGGGTCTGTGAAGCAGTGAAGATTTTGTGAAGCAGGTGGGTGGGAGGAGGTTGGCTGAGGAATTGAACTGAAGTCTCGGTGGGTGGCTTGACGTGGGGGGGAAACAGACGGATGAGGTTGGAGGCGAAGCCCTAGATATTGTCGATCACATCTACACCGAACCGGTAATAGGGTTCTGTAACACATGGTACACCCAAATGCTTATGAAACATAAGTGAAACATCGGTTTTCCTTGTACTTGGAATGGAACTCCGATGTCTACGTCATGACTTGCTTGAACCAACCGTTGAGAATTGACGAAACCGGCAATTCAAACCAGAAGCTCACCAAACCCTGTCCATTCGGCAAGGATTTGGCCGTCTAAGCAAACCGCGTAAAACCTCGCTGACGAATCATAGCTATCGGCGAATACCACTTTGGATCCCCGTCAGGATCAAGCAAAACCGCACCAAGCGCATTACCCCCCTCACACGCTACGTACAATTCGCGCACTCACTTCATCTCAGCTTCCTATTGGCCCACGTCGTCCCCAAACCCTCCTTCAAACAGCTTCCATCCCGCCCTCCCCCCTCTGGGCCTGAAATACGCCGTGTGCCGCTTGCGTGTGCGGGGAAGCAAGCGGAGCGGGTAGTGGTGGTGGCTCAGGATGGGTCACGGGAGTCTCAGGTCAAGGGTGTTGTGGGGCAAAGCGGGACAAAGCGGTTGGCTAAATATCCGAGCGGTTAGGAACGGTTTTGAGATGAAATGCCTCTCCCAACATACGTTTGAGGTGAAGTGATTTTGCTCAAGGCTGCTGCATGCTTCTGTTCCTGCCTGTCTTGGGTTTGCTTGCTTGTTTGCTAACTCACGGAAGACCGCGCTTTGTCCACAACCTACTAATTGGTGCCGAGTATTTTGCGCTTGAAGAATTTAACTCGTGGCTATTGCTGTTTGGAAGTCCAACTCTTAAAAATTGGAACCAGCCAAAACCTTGGATTTGCTTTCGTCTGACTCAAGCAACCATTGTCACGTTGCGTAAAGAGATACCCGAGTCTCGGCTGAGACACTCAGGTTTCGGCGTGCTGTGACCCACATCCTCAGCTACTCACGTCCTCAGCTCGTATCGTGTTCACCCGCTGTCAGCCTCTTGCGTGTGTCTGGGCTTGCCGTAGACCCCTTCTCGTTCTTCCCCGTCCTCGTTCTTTCCTTGAATTGCGCTCACACTTCTTCTGCTTCGCTCTTCGTCGCCTCTTTCCTTCACATCCACCCCGCATCCCTCTTACCACCACTTTTCCCAATGGATCGCGCGTACAAATCCGCCGCGTTTTTCTTTTTTTCCATGTCTACCAAATAGCCCGCGATAGCTCCCTTAGCAGCAGCTAGTTCACCTTTTCCGCGTGCCGACGACGGTAGGACGGGTCGTTTAGGGTCACGTCATGTCTCCAGTCATGGTTTCGTTTCCGAGTCTTCCTCTAGGGAGTATCGTTGCTGCTACCCTCGCACTGTATTCGCTCTAGAAATCGCTCGTGCCTCTTCCCTAGACTACCTTAGAACACGTTCGCACTAGATTAGTTTCCCGGCGCTCCATATCTTCTAAGACTTCCCTTAACTTCCGGCTTTCAGTGCCATTCATGGATTCTGCGATTGCGTGGGATTCTGGGAACCGCAACCGCGCTTGATTTCTTACATTCATACGGCTCTCTCTTCGAACGGACAGGATGAGCTGCCTATCGCCTCGCGCTCGCCACGCCTCTCGTCTGGGATACAATGGTTGCGACGCATGGCGTGTGGTGAAGTCAGACGTGCTGGTCGCAGGCGTTCTTGGTGGCAGCCTTGTTCTCGAGAGGGGGCTCATCTGCTAAAAGAAACACTTACGCAGAGTGATACGACGCAGAGAATTACGCTGTTTTAGTTTTCCGCCAGACTCTTTGAACCATCATGACCTCTTCCTTGATCGTGTCTTCATCCTCGTTACAGAATGCTGCTTTACCGAGCAACATCAGCTCTTCAGTGACAATTGGCTCTACCGCATCCTCATCAGCATCAAGCAGTCATTTCCGTGCCCTGAGTTCCGAGTCTTTTGCCCCGCCGAGCAAGGTTCGCCGACTGGAAGGTCATTTTTCGCCCCTCGAAAATCCCAAGGAGACAGAAGGATTGACGGAGGAGGAGGGAGGAGGAGGGCAGTTGTTTCACCAGTTACGCTCTTCCGCGCCTGCTTTCTCCCACGATCGCGCTGATTCGTCGCATCTTCTTCTTGACGCTGAGCCATGCCACTCTCGGGGGTCCTCTTCCAAGCCCTCTCTCGCCTCTCTTCCCTCCGAGCTTGTCCGCGTTATAGTCTCCCTCGTTGACGCGCCAAGAGACCGCGGTTGCTGCGCACTCGTCTGCCGGGCCTGGCGCCAATGGGAGCGTGCCACGCGTACCCAGCTACACCTGCGCGGAAGCCTCAGCGACCTTCCGAGCCTGGGGACGTGCTTCGACTCGGTGACGGACCTGGACCTGGCTGATGTCCACCCTGATTGGCCAGGTTCGGAAGAAGAACTTCGGCAGGTCTTCCGAACGTCGTTTCCGAACCTCCGCCGCGTCCGAGCCAACGTCAGCCCATCTGGCTTGGAATACGTGCGCCAGTGCTGGCCGAAGCTGGAGAACATCGTGATTGGCCACTGGGATGGCCTGGACGAGGGTTTGGAGGCGCGCCACGTCAGCAGTTTGGTGTCCCGTTGCCCTAAAGTCGACTCGATCGACCTCTCTTGGAGCAGGCACTGTGACTTTAACGAGTTGCCGAAGCAGCTGAGCGATTACAAGCTGGGGAGGATTCGCGTGCTGAACCTGCTGGGCGGGCCTGCTCCGTTAAGGGATGACGCGTTAGAGGTGTTTGGACGGGGTGCCTTTCCGGGGCTTGAGGACCTGAGTTTCGCGATGGCGGATGGTGGCGTCACTGACATGGGGTACGTAGTGTCGCTAATCCCTTAACTCAGAGTAGTAGTATGGCATTGTGCCAAAGATTTTCAAACCCCTCGCTTCCTCTCGCTATGCGCATGTGTACGGTCATTGAGCTTGATCTATTTGTCAATATTTAACCCAAATTAAATTGGCGTCAGAGGGGTGCTGTTGCGTGGCAGCCGCCCGCTGTTTATCAACTGTTTTGTGGTCATCGTTGTCTGCGCCTCAAGAACAAGACTGTCCGTGTGCGCACTGCGTGTCCCTTGGCACACTGCAGCTGGTGCCTGAAAGAGCCATGGTTAGTCGCAATGATGCCATTCAGGCTGCCAGCTGCCTCCCAGCTACCCGCACCCTGAAATGACTAGCGCTGCCCGTTCTAAATCGATTCGTCTGCTTCGCCCGTCGTGGGCGGCTGGTGATTGCGTTTGCGCTGCTGCCTTTGTCGGGGCTGGGGGTCGGCCCCCTCCGAACACTGCCCGCAGCAGCAGCAGCGGCGTCCCCATTCCAACAGATTAGGCCTGGCAGCGGACTGGGCTTGCCTGTGGGCAGCTGCACAGCTGCCGGCCAAGAGCCATGCTGCTCGCTTGGTTTGAAAATGCGGATGGGTTTGGGAGGGAGACGGTTTGGGTGCAAGTGGGTGATGATGCGCATGGTTGCGGGGATTGGGTTTGGGATTCGGGGGATTGGGATTGGGATGGGGATTGGGATTGGGTTGGTGACGACTTTTGAGACGTCTCAAAAGTGGTTCGGGTGCATGTGGGTGATGATGCACATGGTTGTGGGGATCGGGTTTGGGATTTGGGGGATTGGGATTGGGATTGGGTTGGTGACAGGGATGGCGATGGATTAAAGCCTGTGGGAGGAGTGCTGCTGGTTGTCCTCATCTCTACCGCTCCCATCCATCACTCCTCTCCACCGTGCCTCACCTGCTCCAACCACTTGCTCCGCTCCCATTGTTCCTGTCACGCTCTCTTGAATCAATTATTCCAATATTCTGTTTCACACTCTGGCGCATCGCTTGCCCTGTGCCATGCCATCCCATCCCATCCCATCCCACACCATCCCACTCCTCCCCACCCCTCCCGCTGCTCGGCGCGCAGGATTGCGAGTGTGGCGCGTGGGTGCCCGGCTCTGCGCGTGCTGCGCATTGAAGACGTGGCTCACGACCTCAACGACAGCGATGACGGGGACGCGGATGGAGTGGCGGATGGGGGGGTTGCTAATCGGGATGGCATTGGAGACACTGAGGACGCGGTCGTGGATGGCCCTTGGGACGCATTTGCTGGCTCAGAAGCAGCAGCAGCAGTAGTCTCAGAGGCAACGGTAGCAGCAGCTGCAGCAGCGGCGGGCGCTGCCGAGGTTGAGCAAGTGGATATCGAGGGTTTGGATGAGTATGTGCCTTTTCCACCTGCTGCAACCGCGGGCATATCAGCTGCAGCCCTTGCCTCTATTCTTGGCCCATCTCCCCTCCCCGCGTCCTCCCCCTTCGCCCTCTCTTCTGCCTCTCCTCCTGCTGTCACTACCACCGCCGCTGCTGCGCCTGGTGTAGCTGGTATTGCTGCTGCAGCAAACCCTCCTCCTCTATTCGCCCCTCGTGCACCAGCACCACCGCCGCTCCCAGTCCACACAGCCTGCCCAACCTACCCGATCACAGCCGCCGCACTGGAGAGTCTGGCTCGGCACTGCCCGAGCCTGGAGGAGCTGTGCCTGGTGCCGTCCTTCTGTGTGCACCGCAGCGGGCCCGCAATGGAGGCGCTGGCTGCTGGATGCAAGTCGCTGCGTGTGCTGCGACTCACTCGGTTCCTGGGACTTGGTCGAGGGGTGCTGGCTGGTGGCGAAGCAGGAGAGGGTGTGGCGCAGAGGGGTGGTGATGGGCAGGAGGAACAGGATGAGCAGGAGGCAGTCAAACAGGAAGAGCAGCCACAGCAGCCGCAGGTGCCTCAGCAACAGCAGCAGCAGCAGCAGCAGCAGCAGCAGGAGGTGCAGCAGCAGCAGCAGCAGGCGCAGCAATGGGATGGGCAGTTCTGCTCAGTCTCCCCTTGCGCTCCATTCGTCGATGAACCTTTGAGCTTCCCGTTGGCGGCAGACAATGGTGGTAACCCGGATGGTAGTATTCTGGATGCTGGTAGCCTGCAGGAGTGGATGCAGTGGGATAGCGCCCCTTCCTTGCTGCCTCACACGTTGGACGGCTTCAGCAGTGGCTGGGAGGTGGACGATTCTCTCCTTGCGGACCTGCAGCAGTGGCAGCAGCTGCAGGAGCAGCAGCAGCCGCAGCAGCCAGGGGAGGAGGAGCAGCAGCCGCAGCAGCCAGGGGAGGAGGAGGGGGAGCAGCAGCAGGGGTGCCCGTGCCCTCTCATTGTAGCTGGTAGCAGCAAGACCACGAGCACTGGTAGTGGCTGCACCAGCATCGCTGCCTGCCCCAACGCCCTCCCTTGCACTAGTGGCTGCACCAGCACTTTCACCAGCACCTACACCAGCATCAGCACCACTGGATCCTCTCGCTCTCCCGTCTCTCCAGCTTCCCTCCTTGCGCAGCCACCTATCCTCCCACCCCTCGCTCAGTTCACAGCACTGGAGGAGCTAGAATTGCAGATGTGCTCCGACATGATAGACAGAGATATGCAGGCGGTCCTAGAGGGGTGCCCCAAGCTGCGGAGGCTGGAGGTGGTGGCTAACCACCGGCTGTCGGCCCGTGCGTTTTCGCTGGGCTGTGCTGTGTGCGCTGCTGGGGGGCAGTGTGAAGTGGCTGCGGCTGGTGGGAGCTGCAGGGCGCGCGGGCGAGCGCTGGAGAGCATGCGAGTGATGCAGGTGAGAGAGGGGGGGTCGTGGTGCGTGGAGTGGGTGGGTGTGGGGTATGGTGTGTGTTTTTTGCTGAAAGCCTCTCCCAACCTCGCCCACCCACACTCCCCCAGTCGTCTGTCCTCTTGTTTTCCCCTTTCTAAACTTACCTTAGTGTGCGCACAACGTACCATTTCAGATCGTGAAGGAATGTCCATTCTCACCCCGTCTCTATGCCATCCTGTCGCCCCATCGCCCCACCCCTCCAGTGTGACAATGTGGATTTCCATGTACTCAACAGTACAACAGTATGCACTCAATTGCCCCGTCACCCCGTCGCCCCACTCATCCCATCACCCATCACCCCGTCCCCCCACCCTGCTGCAGTGTGACAATGTGGATTCGCACGCGCTGCTGCACGCTCTCATGCCAGCGTGCACAACTCTCAAGGGCGTTCAGATGACCGCCTCCTGGACTAACACCAGCCCCCCCACCCCCTTCCAGTCCCCTTGTTCATCCCCTTTATTTCGTGCCGCTGTGCACTCACCGTCCCATTTTGGACCTTGACCAAATTCTCATACTGACCTCTTTGTCACCCCATCGCCCCATCCCCATCGCCCCATCCCCATCGCCCCACCCCACCCCTGCAGTGTGACAATGTGCATTCGCACGCCCTGCTGCTCGCACTCATGCCAGCACGCACGACCCTCGAATCGAGGGCATTCAGATGACCGCGTCCTGGACCCACACCAGCCCCCCCACCCTCCCCCAGTCCCCTTGTTCCTCTTTCTGATTCCTCACCTCTATCGCCCCATCATCCCATCGCCCCACCCCACCCCTGCAGTGTGACAATGTGGATTCGCACGAGCTGCTGCATGCACTCATGCCAGCGCGCACGGCCCTCAAGGGCATTCAGATGACCGCCTCCTGGACCCACACCAGCCCCCCGCTGCCCCTCGCCTGCTTCTCCGCTCTCGAGTCGCTCTGCCTCGAAGTCTCTGTCGACGCTTCGTTTTCTCCCTTGCTCAGGTATATTTTCCCTTCGTTCCAATTTCCAGAACATTTTTAATTCCCAGGGGTACTTCTCTGGTCACATGCTTTTTCCCTGCTGAAGTGAATATCCGAGGCCCAGAAGTTGGGTGAGTTTGGCCCATCGTGTTTCATTCCTCCCCTGCCTTACCTGCTCGTTCTGTCCTCCCTTCCTCCTCGCTGCTCTGCTGTTCTTCCCTGCTGGTCCTTCCCCCTCCTCTCCTCGCCCATTTCCTTTGCAGTGCTGGCTTGGCCTCCTGCCCCAACCTCAAGTTCTTCTTCCTCTCCCTCTATGGCGCTCTGGACCAAGACACTCTTCCTCTCCCACCACACCACTACTCCCTCGCCTTCCTCTCCCAGCCCCCCGCGCTCACCTACCTCTTCCTCTCTCTCGAAGGCGTCCAGTCTGCCACTGTTCCCGCCTTAGCCTCACTCGAGCTCGCGCTGCTAGCCTCCTGCCCTTCTCTCGCGATCCAAGAGATTGAATTCCGCCCCGCGCCCTGCCCGGTAGCCTCTGCTCCGCTGTGTCTAGACCTGCTTTCCCCTGATGCTGCTCGGCTGCTCTCGCTGTCGCCATGTCTCCGGCGGGTGACTTTAGGGGGGGTGGTGCAAGAGCCAGCGATGGTGAAGCTTCTGAGAAGCCGCACGTTGCGCGATGTGGTGTTTCTCACGCCGCCGGACTGCTCTGACACGTTCCGGAGCTTCTTTGAGTCGGTTCTCAAGTCGAGGGGGTATTCGGATCAGCCAAGGGGTGGGGTGGAGTGCGGTTTGGATGTTTGTGTCATGACTGGTTGTGCTGAGGTTTGATGATGCTGTTGCGGTGGATTTATGTCAAATTTTGTTCTTCTGTACTGAACTGGTAGGACTGTTGATGTAGTGTTTTTGGTGGAACTTTTTAGTTAAGCTGTTTCTACCTTTGGATATTACATGTATACGCACTGTTTCAAGTAAGCTGCATACATCATGAAATAGTAATTGTGTTACAAGTATAAATTGAACTGCGGCAGTGGCGCTTTACAAGCGAAGTTGGACAAGGCTCCACCTAATAAAACCGTTTTGGGAACTTTTGACTTCGACGAGAGTGCAAGTTGGAACGATGGACTGGTAATTTAGGCCCCTTTTTGCTGTTTCGGGCACCCTGCGTTGGCAAGAGGTGATTGTTCAGAGAAACCATATTTATCGAACAATATTTTTGAGACTGCCACATTTCCGACCGCCATGTTGCCATTCGGCTACCGAGTCAAAATCTGACAGTGCGTTCGACGAATTTTGGGTTCGCAGAGGGTTGGTCGCAGTCACATCTTCCAACACTGCATGTGATGTCAGTGTCGGGGGTTTGTCGATTCTTGAAACTCTTCGAAACACTCCACGGCCGATTCATGACATGAAGGGTTTGGTTTGGATCTAGGGCGTGTTTTAATCCTGTGTCAGACTTTAGGTCTGACACGAAGTGTGGTTCGGAAGACCCGAATTGCCTCGTTTTTGGGGCGTTTGGAAGTTTGGAAGAGACAAATTGGAGACTAAGGCCGCATGACTTGATGTCTGACAAGGGATGGAAACACGCCTGAGACATGAACCAAGAGGGTATTTGCGTATGCTATGTTTGTGTGGGCACCCTGCCACTAGCCGCCGCCACATTCACAAAAGTCGTTCCACCTGTCAGCTATAGACGGGTGGATAAGACAACCACATCTTAATCGATGGCATTCTCCTCGCCTTCTGACCATTCGTTGCGCCTCGCTGTCGTGTCGACTTGCGGGGTTCACGTCACGTCACGGGGGTTGAAAGATTGAGATTACTGTACGGGGGTTTCCCCCCTTGCCCACAAAACACAAGGGGGATTACTGTGCGTCACGAATAAGGGGTTGGCGGATATTGTACACCCTCATTCTCAGTCTTCTCACCGACGGAAGCAGTGGCTACAGTGTTTGGACGTAGCGGGCTGGTGAGATAACTCGGTTGCGGGCCAAGTCGCACGAGGCGACGAAACCAGACTTGGGCCGTAAAATTCCATTAACGCTGAATAACTGTTTTCACCGTTTAGAAAACATCATTACCATTTTAGAACGTATAGAACCTTGACTTAACGCCCTGGGTCAAACTGTCAGTATAACGCATGTGATGGGACCTTCTTTGGTCCGCTGCGGCTACACTAAGCGTTTCTGTCAGTATAACATATGCCAGTCTAACGAGAAGAAGGTGTATGACATGCACGCGGACCACGCAGCAGCAATTTCTACTGTATTCATGCGGGTGATTGAATGATGGGGTGGGTGGGTAAGGAGGGGGGAAATCCCCCTTTGGGTGGACAAGGGGGGGTGGCACGTGGGTGCATAGGATGCCCGAAGGCACATATGTTTTCGTTCTATAACTACCCTTAAGTCTCGGGTGAATGTCGTTGCGTTGAAGTGAGACAAGACCCACACTGCCGTGGAAGTTTTCAACTTGGTTATGCAAACCGTTGACAGCTGTCTAGACTGAAGATATTGGGACTGAGGCTCCAGATCTATTCGCCGTATCATAAGGATATATTGCCCGGAATTATGGGAAAGGCTCACGGTTGTAGGTAGATACTCAACTCATCAGCTATCTCCCTCGAAAATTCCTACTCTGCCGCATCCTCATCCCCCTCCACCTATTCCTTCTGCGCCTCGAATCCCTCCCCCATCCCACCCGCCCGAGTCCCGAGCCCAGTCCTATTCTCTTCCGCCTCTCCTCCGCCTCCCGCCGCCGCCAGCCGCCTGCTGTGATCAAGTTTGGAATCTGGCAGTCGCTCGCCACGACACGTGCATAGAGATGGGTGTACACATGATGCCTGATTGAGGCTCTCCCAGATGTCTTATGAAGGAGGCGTATAAATCGTGTCTTATATTTCGCCTAAGTTTCGTCAATTCGCAACTAGCTTAAAAGGATTCGCAGGTGCTTATATGAAAGATCTATAACCTTGTTCGTTGACATTTTGACTTCAGTGTCTTCCATTTGACTTTGGTCATTTCGTTACTATTGGTTCATAGCCCCACGACGCGCTTGTACCGTGGGTGCAACAGGCTGGGAAAAAAAACCTCGGGTGCAGCATTTCTATCCGGTGCGGAGCAAATTCGCGTGCATGGGGTGGGCATCACTTGTAGTGCTCGTGCGATCCACCACAATGCAGTTTGTTTGCCTTGCTTGTTCTGTCTCTCCAAAAACCTGTGACAGGTTTCGAAGCTCTGCAGTTTTTTGCTTGCTTGTTCAGCGTGTCTTTATTCAGACGAGTTGTACTGAACGACAGAAAGATAATAGAGCTCCGTAACTCACCATTGCGGAGACGCGGAATTTATTCCAGCGTTTCAGCATCCACTCACCAATTCTTTGTGGAGACACCAACTCCTCTCCTCCCTACCCCGCAGTTCCCCCAACGCGATTTCGGCTCCCTCCAAGTAGCAATGTACACTGCCTGAACACTAACAGATATCAAAATTGTGGAAACCACCACCGTGTCCCCATGTCCACCAACTTGGTTAGTGATTCTCCCAGTTCGAGCACCTCGAAATATCTTTTTGATCAGTAATGTACAGCTTCTAGTAAGTCAGGGGGCTCGCATTCGACTTGTTTCGCTTCAACGTCTGAACTTCCATCGTAGTATATATGCACAGGTCAACGTGCACCTACGCGTAATTCCCGTAAATTTCCGCTGATACTTCAGCAGAGGCTCTGCCAGAGTGGATTTCCTAGTTTTTTTTCCGACTTTAGGGCGACTCGTGGGTTAATTCTCCTGAATTCCGACGCCGCCGCGTCAATCTTAAAATACTTGACCCATAACTTTTCAACTTCCACTCCGAATTGAATTTATCATGGGTGGCTGTTTTAGCAGACCCGCTATTAGGGGGGACGACATGGACGAACGTAACCCCGCTAGAGTCACACCCACGTCCTTCTCAGGCGAGCTCGCCGCTATTAACGGCGCAGATCAACGGCCAGGATCTGCGCATTACGTTTCCGTCAGCAGCATCAAATCGCATGACAGCAGCTCCGAACGCTCCGGTGGCGAAAGCGGGCGAAGAAACGGGTTACCCTTCGGAAATTCAGGCCAACGAAGCGAATTACCCGGTTCCCCGATCAATGGCTTTGCAGCTTCTAGAGAAGCGGCGGCGGGAGATTCGCGGTGCGGCTGGGACGACTCGAGAACCGGCGGGGGAGACTGGAGCAACCGGGGGGGAAACGGCGGAAACGGCGGAAATGGGGGGATGTTTAGCGGCGGGGGTGTGTATGGAAGCGGGAGCATGCACGGGATGGGCGCGGGAAGGGGAGGGGGAGCGGGGGGCGGCGGGGGGAACGGGTCGGCGCGCGCAGCGTCGATGTACGCGGGGTTGGCGGGGCTGGAGGGGCTGGGGGGGCTGACGGGGAGCACGTACGCGGGGATGCTCGCCACGGGGTCGGAACACGGCGGGGGAGGCGGTGGCGCAGGGGGAAACAAAGCGCAAAATGCGGCAGCCATGAGGTGAGGAGGCTCGTTTCCCACATCCGTTCCCCCATTTCGTTCCCCCATTCCGTTCCCCCATTCCGTTCCCCACATCCGTTCTCCACATCCGTTACCCACATCCGTTCCCCCGATTCGTTCTCCCCTTCTGTTCCCCCATCCCGCTCCCCCATCCGTACCTCCGTTCCCTTCGACCGTTCAGTTCCCCCATCCGGTTCCCTTATCCCCCTCCCCCATTCTTGTCCCCCATTACGTCCCCCTATCGTGTTCCCCCGTTCCATCCCCCCGCCCCATCCCTTCCCAACTCCCCGCTCTCTTCCCATGCGCTCCCCCATTTCCTTTCCCCCATTCCGTCTGTCCCTCCCAGAGCGATGCAAGCAGCCAAGCTCCGAGCCTCCAAAACAGCCTTGGAGAGACACGACGTGGAGATCATAGGCTCGGGACCGGAGCTGCTGGTGTTCTCACACGGCTTCGGATACAACAAGAACGTGGGTGGCACCCGTGGTAACAACCTTACTGGTAACCACATTGATGGTAACCACCTCAATGGTACCTAATGAGTCGACTCAAAAGGGCTGCTGGTGTTCTCACACGGCTTCGGATTCAACAAGAACGTGGGTGGCACCCGAGGTAACCACCCCTCTGGTAACCACCTCACTGGTAGCCACATCAATGGTAACCACCCCACTGATAACCGCATTATCAGTAACCACTTTGTTGGTCCCCACATGATTGATCCGAACCCGCTCTGTCAGTGACCGTGCTACAGTCATGAATAACCTTATGTTTGGTCACCATTCGCCTTGTAACGACCGTTTCACATCTACCGTTTCATCTCCCATTTCATCTCCCGTTTCATCTGGGTGGTGATGAATTACAGGTATGGAGCGGTGTAATCAAGGCACTGGACAAGACGCGCTATAAGATTGTTCTCTACAACGTAACAGGCGCTCTGGGGTAAGCGCCAGCCGCTATGGCCCTTCACTCTAGCAGTCCGTTCTAGCACTCCTCTCTAGCAGCGTTAAGACCTTTTGAAAGCTCCTGATTTGACCCTCGCTGCCAGCTCTTTAAGTCAACTCAAAAGTCACCTCGTTACAAAGTCACCTCGTTACAAAGTCACCTCGTTACAAAGTCGCCTCGTTACAAAGTCGCCTCGTTACAAAGTCGCCTAGTGTCTCTTTTCTCATTCACCATCATATCCCTGTGCCCCGTGCTTCTCACCCCCTCCCCCGCACACAAACACGGACTACGACGCATTTGGCTACCAGCACCACTGGACGCTGCGCGCTGCTTGCCTCACCTCCCTCCCTCCTTTGTGCCTTCTCTTTCCCCACCGTAGCCAGCACAGACTACAATGCCCTTGACCACCAACCAGCCTTACAGCACTTTTGAGACGTCTCAAAAGTCGTCTACTTACACACCGTAGCCAGCACAGACTACAATGCCCTTGACCACCAACCAGCCTTACAGCACTTTTGAGACGTCTCAAAAGTCGTCTACTTACACACCGTAGCCAGCACAGACTACAATGCCCTTGACCACCAACCAGCCTTACAGCACTTTTGAGACGTCTCAAAAGTCGTCTACTTACACACCGTAGCCAGCACAGACTACAATGCCCTTGACCACCAACCAGCCTTACAGCACCCTGCACGCTGCTCGACTCACCTCCCTCTTTTGCGCCCTCTCTTCCCTTCCCCCGCCCCATTCCCCGCTCGCAGAACGGACTATGACGCGTTTGACTACCACCGCTACAGCACACTGCATGGCCCATGTAGCACACTGCATGGCCCATGTAGCACACTGCATGGCCCATGTAGCACACTGCATGGCCCATGTAGCACACTGCATGGCCCATGTAGCACACTGCATGGCCCATGTAGCACACTGCATGGCCCATGTAGCACACTGCATGGCCCATGTAGCACACTGCATGGCCCATGTAGCACACTGCATGGCCCATGTAGCACACTGCATGGCCCATGTAGCACACTGCATGGCCCATGTAGCACACTGCATGGCCCATGTAGCACACTGCATGGCCCATGTAGCACACTGCATGGCCCATGTAGCACACAGCATGGCTTCACGGACCAACTTCCCTCTCATCCTACCATAATCCCTTCCCCCCTGCCCACTTCCTCCCTCTCCGTCTCCCCCCCCCCCCCCCCATGTCCCCCCCAACAGCACAGACTATGACGCGTTTGACTGCCAGCGCTACAGCACGCTGCACAGCCTTACCTCACTCAAGATGCACCGCACACCTCTCCCCACCCCTCGCCCCGTCTGTCTCCCCCTCACGGCACGGACTACGATGCGTTTGACTATCAGCGCTACAGCACGCTGCATGGCTTCATCTCACGCGTGATACACTCTGCTCTCTAATGCTGCTCCTTCCCTCCCTCTGTCCCCACACACACAGCACGGACTATGACGCGTTTGACTACCAGCGCTACAGCACGCTGCACGGCTTCACGGACGACCTGCTGTTGCTGCTGCACGAGCTGGGCGTCGAGGTCAGTGCCCCTTGATTTTGCAGGGCGTTTCATCAATATCTCAAAAACACCCTGCAAATTCTCAAAAACACCCAGACGACTTGCTGTTGCTGCTGCTGCGTCGAGGTTCGTGCCCCTTGTTTTCCTGCGTTCATGCTCCACTGCTCCCCTCTTTTCCTCCATCTGCACTGCTCTGAATCCCCGTGACTTGCTCTCCCCGGTTCCGCGTGTACGCGTGGGGCAATGCCATGGCGATGCAGGTGTGGGAGCGAGCGATGGCAACATCAAATATTATGAATCCCTCTGATTCTTTCTGAAATCCCTCTAATTTTTTCTGAATCCCTCTGAGTTTTTCTGAATCCCTTTGAATTTTTCTGAATCCCTCTGAACTTTCTGAATGTTTCTGAACTCCTCTGAATTTTTCTGAATTCCTCTTAATTTTTCTGAATTCCTCTGATTTTTTCTGAATTCCTCTGATTTTTTCTGAATTCCTCTGAATCCCGCTGAACCCCTCTTCTGGTTCGTGTGCGCGTGCTGGTGCATGCATGCAGGGGTGGGAGCGGGGGCAGCAGTGCACGGTGGTGGGGCAGCAGCAGGCGGGCATGGTGGCGCTGCTGGCATCTTTGGAACGCCCCACACTCTTCAAGCGCATCGTGCTGCTCAGCTCTTCACCGCGGTGAGTGATTCTTCGTTACGTGGTAACCAGATTGCTTCGAGTTGCCACAAGAGCAAGCAGCAGGCGGGCATGGTGGCGCTGCTGGCATCCTTGGAACGCCCCACACTCTCAAGCGCATCGTGCTGCTCAGCTCCTCGCCCCGATGAGTCATGCCTTGTTACACGGTAACCAGTCCTGGATCGTAAAGGTACCCAGGCCTGGGGTCATCGTGGTAACCAGGCCTGAGGTCATCATGGCAGTTCCAAGGGACGTGATTGGATTGTGAGGCTGGATACCACAGTAACACACATGTGCCATACCTTCACGCCTGCTTCCGTGTGGCTTTCATGCCTCCCCCACTCTCTCATCCTCCCACATTCCCTCACACGCCCCCTCTTTCCCTTGTTGAGCGAGCAGGCTATTGGGAGCAGAGGGGTATGAAGGGAGCTACGCACTAGAGGATCTGGATCAGGTGTTTGGCATCATGCAGGGCAACTTCAAGGTGAGTGTAAGGGCTCCGTCAGTTTGCTGTTAGCTTCTCCTAGCTGCTTGCTTCCTTGGTTGGGAAACGAATTGCAGTATTAAGAGAAACAAACAAGCAAAAAGCAAGGAGTCCGAGTGCTACTCCTGCCTACATCTACTCTCGCCTCCTGCCTAGGTTGCTTCCTCCACAAGCAAGCTCCTGTGCACCAAGCGAGTCAGCCGAGCTGCTCGCGAGGGCTCCAAGGTGCTAGCTGGTTCCCACTGGGCTAGCTAGGCATGCACCGCCTTCCAGCCTGGTGACTTCGAAATTGAATGCACAGGCTGGAATTGAATTCGCCTCCCACCATCCACCTTGAATTCGCCTCCCACCAACCACCTCGAAATCCCTCAGAAATTCGGACAGTACAGTACATTCCAAGCACACGAAAGACATTAGAATACAAACAAAAAGAATATAGCACATCATTACCTTAGCTGCTGTGCAATTCACACTTAGCTTGCGGCTAAGTGTTAATAGCGCGACAGTATGAAGGGAGCTACGCACTAGAGGATCTGGATCAGGTGTTTGGCATCATGCAGGGCAACTTCAAGGTGAGTGTAATGCATGCCTCTCGTTCTGTAAACACTCTTTCCGCCAAAGCTTTCACATTTCTTTCCGAAACACAGTTCATCACAACGATTCTCCCTATCCTTCTCTGCCCTGCCTTTGCCCTCTCTGTCCTGCCCTGTTCTCCCCTGCCCTGCTCGCAGCTGTTGGTGCACAACTGAGCACCCGTGCTGACAGCAGACGACATCAAGGCGGGGCATGTGTGAAACTGCTTGCAGACTCATGTCAAATGGACGTGACTTGTCTTGAGAGCAAATCAGCCACATTCTCTCTCCCTGCCCCGCCATCCCTGCCCTGTTCTCCCCTGCCCTGCTCGCAGCTGTGGGTGCGCAACTGTGCACCCGTTCTGACAGCAGACGACATCAAGGCGGCTCGTGTGCAAGAGGTTCCAGGCTCAACCTAAACACACATTCACCCTCGCCCTGCCCTGCCCTCCCCTATTCGCAGCTGTGGGTGCGCAACTGTGCACCAGTGCTGACAGCAGACGACATCAAGGCGGGATGTGGGAAAGCGCATGTAGCCTCATTCTTTTGTTCCCCTATCCTGCCCTGCCCCTCCCACGCTTACAGCTGTGGGTGCGCAACTGTGCCCCAGTGCTGACAGCAGACGACATCAAGGCGGCTCGTGTGCAAGAGGTTCCAGGCTCAACCTAAACACACATTCACCCTCCCTGCCCCTGCTCTGCCCGCCCCTATTCGCAGCTGTGGGTGCGCAACTGTGCACCGGTGCTGACAGCAGACGACATCAAGGCGGGGCACGTGAGGGAGTTTGTGCGCCCGCTCTTCCTGCTGCGACCCGACATTGCGTTCAGCTTCCTCAAAACCGCCTTCGCGTGTGACGTGCGCGACATTCTCCCAAGGGTGAGTGCTTATGCTGCACGTGAGGAAGATGAATGGATGGTACGGCACAGCAATCGTCTCTGCTTTGCTCTTTCTCGTGCGACCAGACATCCTCAAAACCGTTTTCGCCTGTAACATGTGCAATATCCTCCCGAGGGTGAGCGTGACATTATTATGGCACACAGTATTAATGTATGCCATAGGCCAGGTCAATGTTGCCTGGTCCTAGCTGCCGCTTTCTCCGCGCAGTGGGTAATCTCATCGTTGGAGGTTTTAGGTGGATAGTGGATACTGTCTGAATTGCTCTCCTCTGTTCTGTATGCCCCGTGCTCACATTGCTGTTCGCTTGTTGGGGTTGTTTGTTTGCAGGTTATGGTTCAGGTTCACATGCTGTTCTTCTCCGGGGAGCCTACAGTTCCCGAGTCTGTCATGCAATACATTCTTAAGACCATACCGAACGCATATGGCGAACTCCTTCCGACAAGATCGCTTCAAGATTCTCCCGAAGTAGTTGCAAATTCTTTAGAGAAGCACCTAAGCATGCCGCTCCGGGATCCCTTTGGCCATTCTAGTCGGAGAATGATGAACACTCGCATACCGTTGCCGTCTCAAGAAGAAGGTGAAGAAGGCGATGATGGTGGGGAGACCCGGGAGGATATACTTTGAGTTGAATGTTGTGTATATTATTCAATTCCCCTAAGTATGGGGTATTTTTTGACACTAATACAGAATGCCTTGTTACAGACCATCAATACTCCTTCCCGGAACTAAGGGCTGCCGGTGTGACAGCATGGAGGAAAGCTGAGCCTCCATTGGCTCTGAGCCTGAATTTGACAGGTTGTACTGCCAAGTTTGCGCTCCACGATGGCGAAGTGTGAATACAGGCTGGCAAGCTCGACAACTCAGCATCCCTCCAGCTTCGCTGGACATCACCGACAAATTTCAAGGTTTCCGCCCCATGCGAGTGCCAAGGGTATCCCACACCGACGTCACATTGCCCTGGTCAATTTGCGCCAGCGAGCAATTTTTCATCGACGAACAATATTACGGCGAACTCGCTTGCAGCGGAAAGTGCTTCGCTTGTATTTTCGCACGACCTCGCGGCCGGTACGGAATGCTATGCCATGTGACCAATTCTTGTTTCTGCTTTGGTTGCTTTCTCGAACTCCCCCAAAACATCATGTCCCTCTCCTCCCCAAAGCACCATCTCGCTCAAACTCAACCGTCTTATTCAACTACTCTGCTTCGCTTCCGCCGCGTCGCAAAGCAAGTTCACGACATTGTCCCCTTCAACGGATCTTGCCTACGCGCCTTACCTGGCTTCTCTAAGGCCTCGCGTCTAGGACCCTCCCCCCCCATTTTGATCTGCCTCGCGTGATAGCATCCCTCCCATTTTCTTGTCTGTGACCGTCCGCTCCTTGCTCATTCACTCCGTACAGTTCTCTCATAGGCTCAGTAACCTGGGCGGCAATGGCCGCTCGTCGTTTCGTCTTAACTGCCTTTGTATTGCTACTCGGCGCAGCGTTCGCATTACACATATCTCTGGTTGCTGCGGCCGAAGCGGCAGATCGCGGCAATGTCGAGACATGCACGGCAGCTTCCGACACGGCAGGAGCAGAGGCCAAAACATGCGCCAATGTCGCTGCCGCAGAAAGCGCCGATTCCACCGCTTCTAACGCTTCCGCAGATTCCGCTGATTCTTCTGTCGAGGATGGCGGGAACCCGTCGCTAACGCTGCACCTCGACACGGCAAGCGGCGGCGGTGGCGATGAAGGCGAGCGGCGCGTGATCCAGCTGTCGTCGTGGCGGCCGCGCGCGTATCTGTTCAAACGGTTCCTGTCGGAGGAGGAGTGCGACCACATCGTCGCACAGGCGACGCCTCGCTTGCAGCGGTAAGTCGTACAGGCGTCGCCTCGCTTACAGCGGTGAGTCGACGAGCAGTGAGTCTGCAGCGGGAAGTGGAGACTAGCAAACTCAAGAACGCAGTCACCGCAATCAGTAGCGTATTTTATTGGGCGCCTCAAAAGTGACCGTAGTGTTTTGTCAAAACATTAGACCAGTCCCTTCACTCCAGCCACCCCCCTCTCCCCCTCCCTCCCCCCTCCTCTTCCCTTCCCCACTCTCTCTGGCCACTCCTCCCTCCGTAGCCCCCTCGCTCCAACCCCTATTTTCTTTTCCCCTCACTCCCCGCCGTCAGATCATCGGTGGTGGACGGCGTGGATGGGCACGTGTCGGTATCAACGGTGCGCACGAGCAGCGGCATGTTCATGGAGAAGGGCGAGGATGACGTCATCGCGCGCATCGAACAGCGCATCGCCGTTTGGACCTTCCTGCCGCTCGCCAACCAGGAGTCGCTGCAGGTGGGGTGGGGCTGGGAGGGGCTGGGGGTGCGGGCATGCATGGATGATTGGGCATGCATGGATGGTTGGACATGCATGGATGATTGGGCATGCATGGATGATTGGGCATGCATGGATGATTGGGCATGCATGGATGATTGGGCATGCATGGATGGTTGGACATGCATGGATGGTTGGGCATGCATGGATGATTGGGCATGCATGGATGATTGGGCATGCATGGATGATTGGGCATGCATGGATGATTGGGCATGCATGGATGGTTGGGCATGCATGGATGGTTGGACATGCATGGATGGTTGGGCATGCATGGATGATTGGGCATGCATGGATGATTGGGCATGCATGGATGATTGGGCATGCATGGATGGTTGGACATGCATGGATGGTTGGGCATGCATGGATGATTGGGCATGCATGGATGATTGGGCATGCATGGATGATTGGGCATGCATGGATGATTGGGCATGCATGGATGATTGGGCATGCATGGATGATTGGGCATGCATGGATGGTTGGACATGCATGGATGGTTGGGCATGCATGGATGATTGGGCATGCATGGATGATTGGGCATGCATGGATGATTGGGCATGCATGGATGATTGGGCATGCATGGATGGTTGGGCATGCATGGTGTCACCGAATATGTACGTTTGTGCATATAAGGTGCCAGTATGATTGTGGTGTAGAAAGGGTGTAGTAATGTGTTGTATTTGTTGTATGCAGGCTCAAGGATGGGTAGGTGGGAGGCTGGGAAATTGACGTGAAGTTGGTAGGAGAACACCAGGGGGTGAAATCCTCGCGACCAATGGGAACAAACCCAACCCAGGCTCAAGCCGCACATTGAGAAATGCACGGCTCGAGCTAGGGACAGGTAAGTTCACTCTCACACACACACACAATGCTTTCTGTTTGTTATCCTTTCGTATAGTGGACAGTTGTTACCTCAGATTTGCCTACAGGTGGCACACCACTCAGAGAGGACCTTTGAGGTGAGAGTTACCACTCTTTCATAACAAACAGAAAGGTGCGCGTGCAAGCATGGATGTGCACGAGTTGCGTTATGGCAGGAAGTACGATCGTCGTGAGGGTGATCGCTCGCGGCGGGAGCGCTCACGAGAGCGCGGGCGTTCGCTAGAGAGGTCGCCGCGGAGGCCTGACCGCTCGCCGCGGAGGCCTGAGCGCTCGCCGCGGAGGCCGGCTTTTCGCGCCGATCTGGTCCCTCTCGCGCCAGATCGCCGTGAAGAAGGTGCAGAGCGCGAAGGAAGAGGCGGATCCGAGTCCGTCAGGATGGGAAGTGACCCGTGGCGGACGGATACGCACCACGGGGCTGGTGGCGAATGCGGACATCGCCACGACACGGGAGCGTATCGCTCGCCGGACGAAGGTTACCGCCGTCGCGAAGATCGCAGTCGCGGGCGTGGCCTGGAGGAGCTATTCTCTGGTCGGCAAGGAGATCTCGATGTGGATGGGGAGGGCGAGGTCGATATGGCGGAGAAGCCGCAGGAAATGGATCTCGAGAGTGAAGCGAAGGGCGATGACGAGGCCCATGAGGAAGGCGCGGGCGAGCAGCGCGATATGCACGCCGAAGTCAAGGAAGCCAGTCCGATGCTGGCGAGCGAGGAGGCTGCGCCAGGCGCGGCAGAAATAGGCGGGAAGGATGGTGCGCGGAACCAGACGCGTGGTGAAGAAGGCAACGACGACAGGAGGCGTAGCCGTGGATCGCGCTCGCCGACCCCCCATCAGCACCACGACCAGAATCATGGTGGCGAGAGGCATGCGTCAGATCCGCGGCTGCAGCAAGACAAGAGGCGCGACGGCGGGCATCGCTCGCCAGATCCGCGGCTGCAGCGTGACGAGAGGCGCGGCGGCGACCATCGCTCGCCAGATCCGCGGCGGCAGCGTGACGAGAGGCGTGGCGGCGACCATCGCTCGCCAGATCCGCGGCTGCAGCGTGACGAGAGGCGCGGCGGCGACCATCGCTCGCCAGATCCGCGGCTGCGGCGTGACGAGAGGCGCGGCGGCGGCTACCGCTCGCCAGATCCGCGGCGGCAGCGCGAGGACAGACGTGACGGCGGCAACCGCTCGCCACATTCGCGGCAGCAGCGTGAGGACAGGCGCGACGGCGGCTACCGCTCGACTGATGTGCGGCAGTGGCACGACGAAATGCGCGGAAGTGGTCACCACTTGCCAGATCCACGGCAGCGTCGTGGGGAGGAGCGCGGAGACAGCACGCGTTCACCAGATCCGCGGAGGTATCACGGCGGGAGGAGCGAGAGGGGCTCACGCTCACCAGATCTGCAGCGCTATCATGATGGGAGGAGCAGAGATGTCCAGCGCTCGCCTGACGCGCAACGGTATCCTGGAGGAGGGTGGAGAGGCGAGGCGCGCTCGCCGGATTGGCGGCAGCAGCTTGAGGAGAGTCACGGGGGCAGACATCGCTCGCCACCGCGGCAGCGGAGCAGGGATATAAGGCAAAGCGGTGGGGCACGTTCGCCAGAGCGTTATCGGCAACATGACGAGAGGCGTGCCGGCGAAGGAGGACAAGATCTGCGCAGCAGCAGAGTGGGAGGCAGCGGGCTGATGGACAGCCTGGAGCGAGCCAGAGAGGCGAGGGAGGGAATACGGCGGGCGGGAGAGAGGGGAACGGCAGGCAGGACAGCAGAGAGATATAGTGAGGCGTGGGGAGAAGGAAAGGGAAGTACAGCCATGGTCACAAGGGTGGAAGTACCAGCACGCTTCTCTGGGGACCAGCGATTGGGGCCCACACTG